CGGGACGGTGATAACAAGTGCGTCGGAATGAGGATGTGCGAAGTGATTAGCATCCTCCATATTAAAAGTTATGGGACAATTCCGATTGTTGAGGATGTCTCTCAAATCTGTCGTGTACACTTGTTTGTTGGAATTGTGCGCTTGTCGGGCATAGGCTTTGATCTGTCGACGGGACAGTGGACTCCGGGAATTATTGGTATTGACACGATGGACGGTAATTTGCATCGGTTCAGGAGATCGACCTCGTTTACGTCCTCGGGCAATTCCAGTAAAGTTTGAATCGGGCGTTTCCGAAGTGAACATAAATACTTCCTTGTCTCCTTGTCGGATGCGTTTTGGCATGGCACCTCGGTCCTCTTCATCGTCTTCATCAAAGGGTTCGATCTGACGCACCGGACCTCGCCTCTGGGGATCGGTATTACGGTAAAACTTTCTGAGTTGTGGATGTCCAATCAAACGCAACAATGCAGCTAACAAACTCAAACACTCGTCTGTGTTGTGCCCTGGTGATTTATGATAATCACAATACCGGGACTTGTCCAGTTTTTCTTCGGGCATTCGAAGTGGTTTGGGATCTGGTAAAATGCCCTTCCCTTTGATTTCTTCATATATGGTGGCTGCTCCCGCAGAATATACGGTTTGATAGCCAGACTTCACATCGGTAGCATATTGTTTTCGGGCCGCTCGAACTTCAGGATCGTTGGGATCTCCCTGGGGAGGCCCCTTGAACTGAGTCTTGTTTTGTCTTTCGAAATATTTGTTCTTTTTCTTCTCCTCGGTTCCTGCCTTGGATGACTTCGGATTAAAGTTAAAGTCGGGGACCGACATGGCTTCCTCAGCTATAATATGTTGCTGAGCTCGAGCGAGAAATTCTTGAAAAATATTCGGTTTCTCTGACACAGTGTCCAGCGGAAAATTGAGTTCGGTTTTAACCCAGCGATAGCCATGACAAGCAGAGTTTTAGGATGACAAGGTTCCATATTCTGAACTCGGTCATTAAATCGGGCAATATAATCCTTGACACTTTCATCATCTTTTTGAGTGACATTTGCAATAGATTCTTTTGAGATTAGGCAGACTTGAGCCCCGATGAAATAAGATCGGAAAGCCGACCTCAATTGTTGTCATTTCCAAATAGAGTGAGGAGGAAGAGAATGGTACCATTTTTGGGCTCGAGGCCCTAGCGTGAGAGAAAACATACGACACCGAAGTGCATCTGATGCTCCATGCAGATCCATCCACGAGGTATAATGACCGAGGTGTGAGTCGGGATCTGAGGTTCCATCATATAGACTGATCTGGTGGACTTTGACTTTCCCAGGTACAGGTTCCGAAGTCAGTTCCGGAGTGAGGGGAGAATCGGCTTCCAAATACACTTGCGCCGAGGTGGAGGCCCGCCGAGGGGGATCTTCAGGTACCCGTTGCCGACTTTCCAATTCGGCGATTCTTCGTCGCAATGTTTCAAGTTCGGACGACTCTTGACGAGCTCGGTTTCGTTCTATGCGCTGCCGAAGGTCGGTCTGCGCCGGGTTGGAGGGGTTTCAGCGCTGTGCTTGAGGTGGTGACCGTCGTGAATGACCCGACTGGCTTTCGGCGGTTTCTTCTTGAGGAAGTATAAGAGGATTGCGCCCAACGTCGGTGCGACGTGTAGTGTGTTCTGGAGGCAGTTGCGACATTCGATCACGAGGTTGAGATGTAGCATGAGATGTTGTCCTTCTGCCGTCTTGTCGCACAGGTGGATTCTGTGGATTTGCAGGAGTCGTCGGTATTATGGAGTGTTTCGGAGCAGTCGTTGATGTTCCCGGAATCGTCTGGGCCATTAGAGCGGCAAAACCACGAGCAAACTCTGGATTTTGAAACAGAACAGCATAATCTGGTATAGGTGGGGCCGCGGCTTGTCGTCTGGCAGAGTGCGCGGCGCTGCGATTGTGGCCGTCTCGTGAGGTGTGACCACGATGATCTGAGTGAGACATGATGAATATGGCTGGCGTGAATCGTTACACGTGAAAGCGGAAAGTAACCTCAAATCACTTATGAGGCCCTCCTTCTAGCGCCAAACTGTTGTTATGCGATTTGTAACAATGATGTAACAAGTGATTAAGTTGATAATTACGAGCGGTTTGGACGTAAAGCATGTAAAAAAGAACTCAACAATGACCCCGGTCCGAGGTGAACCGAGGTGAAGAGCCGTTATGGGCTTTTTCGTGTTGCATATTCATCAGTTTTTGGATCCCCATACAAATGTCGTTGGGTCGCTATTTATAGAACCTTTTTCGATGGATACATTGGAATTCGTGTACTGCTTTTCGTATAAAGTAACTTTTGGTGGGCGGTTAAGAGCAGTGGGCTCCACATGCATGATGACGAGCTTCGTAGAGCGTGATAGGAGTGTGTAGGCGCCTTGTCACCTGCTTAAGGAGGTGACGACCTCGGTTTAAGTAGACCTCGGTAGGTATTGATCACTTCGGTCTTCGGTAGTTCGGACCGGATCATTGCGTGGGCCAGCGTGGCTTTGGATCACGGCGGTTCAGTAGTTGATGTCACTTAGCAATGATGCTTAAACCTCCTTAATGATGCTTTGCCGAGTTGGATGATAGCAAGGATAAAGAAAAATGGATGGCTGCGATGCAGGAAGAGTTAGATTCTCTTCAGAAAAAATCAAACGTATGAAATAGTTAAACTTCGAGAAGGGAAAAAGGCTTTGAAAAATAAATGGGTGTTCAAGCTGAAGAAGGATGCAAATGGACAAGTGGTGAAACACAAAGCTCGATTGGTTGTCAAAGGCTTTCAGCAGAAGAAAGGGATTGATTTTGACGAGATCTTTGCACCAGTTGTCAAGATGACCTCAATTCGAGTCATACTTGGCTTAGCAGCAAGTATGAATTTGGAGCTTGAACAGATGGATATGAAGACAACTTTTCTTCACGGAGATTTGAATGAAGAAATCTATATGCAGCAGCCAGAAGGTTTTGAGGTTTCAAGTGAGAACCTCGTGTGCAAGCTATCTAAAAGCTTGTATGGCCTAAAGCAAGCACCAAGGCAGTGGAATAAGAAGTTTGACTCATGCATGAAGAGTCAAGGTTACAAGAAGACTACTGCAAATGAGTGTGTTTACATCAAAAGATACTCAAATGGGGCTTTTATAGTTCTTCTACTGTACGTCGACGATATGTTGACCGTTGGGAATGATGCAGAGAAGATACGTCAGCTGAAGAAAGAACTTTCTAAGTCTTTTGATATGAAAGATTTAGGAAAGGCTCAACAGATTCTTGGGATGCAGATTACTCGAGACCGAGAGAACGGCAAGTTATGGCTATCTCAAGAGAAGTATATTGAACGAATACTTGAAAGATTCAATATGAGTGATGCCAAACCAGTGAGTATTCCACTTGCGAATCATTTCAAGTTGACCAAAAGATCATGTCCAACATCCAAGGAAGAGATGGGGGAGATGTCTGCTGTGCCATACTCTTCAGCAGTTGGAAGTCTGATGTATGCAATGGTGTGTACAAGGCCAGATATTGCTCATGCAGTGGGTGTAGTAAGTCGTTTTCTTTCTAACCCCGGGAAGGAGCATTGGGAGGCAGTCAAATGGATTCTCAGATACTTGAAGGGTACTTCTAAGTTATGTCTTTGTTACGGGGGAGCTGATCCAGCCTTGGAAGGATATACTGATGCTGATATGGCCGGAGATATCGATTGTCGAAATTCTACTCCGGGTTATGTCTACACTTTTGCAGGGGGAGCAATTTCTTGGCAATCAAGATTGCAGAAGTGTGTTGCTTTATCCACAACAGAAGCTGAATATATTACTGCCGCTGAAGCTGGTAAAGAAATGTTGTGGCTAAAGCGCTATCTCCAAGAACTCGGGATTAAGCAGAAAGAGTACAAGGTATATTGTGATAGTCAAAGTGCTATTGACTTAAGCAATAACTCTATGTACCATGCCCGCACAAAGCATATTGATGTTCGGTATCACTAGATACGCGAGAAGATTGATCAACAGCTGTTGAAACTAGTGAAGATCAATACGAAGGAGAATCCATCAGATATGTTGACAAAAGTGGTAACACTGGATAAGCTTAAGCTATGCAGAGACATAGTAGGGATGCTTGTTCAGAACTTGCATGGAAAGGGGAGAATTGAAAGTTCCATGCAAGTCTCCCAACTACCACTAGCACACAGAGGAAGAATTTCTTGCAGCACACAAATGAAGAAGAAGACTAGTCCTCCACCTTCACCTAACTCTCCTTATTCACACACCATTGTCAACGACGGTGTGCTTGCTCATGCCTATAAATAGGCTTGTTATTTCATTCATTTGAATCATCCTTGAGTGATCAATCAACCTTGAGAGTGTTGAAACACAACCAAGAAAGAGTTGTGGAGTGTTTGGGAGTTTTTTGTTTAGAGTTTGTAAATCTCTTGTGTTTCTATTCTTGTGAGTAATAGAAACGTGTTTTTCTCTCAAATTATGTTTATGATCTTGGGATGATACCACAACAAAAAGCACTAAATCGCACAAAATTCTCCAGACTTTTCTTTCTACCGGTAAATCTCCTCTGTGCCCATGTAAATTGAATCTCGAATATCAAAACGTCGATTAAAAATTCTTCCAAGTTATGGGTATCTCGTTTAGGGTCCCCAAATCCAGCAAGTGGTTCCACCTGAAGCCGCCACTACCTGGCGCAAACTCGTTTTTTGTTGGAGCTTGGTAGGGAGGCGGTGGCGGTGGAGATGGATGAGTGGTGGGCGTGGGCATTGACGCGAACAGGCTGAGGAGGAGCGTCTTGGCCGACGTCGTGAGCGCCACCACCGTGTATGAGGCGGCGTTGCTCTTGGAGGCGGTGGCGAAGTTCTTGGTAGAGTTTCGTGGTGCAAAATTGGTGAATGGTTTTGAGCAATGCGAGAAGGTTGTCACTGACAAGTTGTCAGTTGATGCAGATTTGGGGTTTCTTGATTTTTGTTGCTTTTTTTTTAATTTTTTGCTTCATAGTTTTGCTAAATTAGTGTTTTGTCTGCTGCTGTGTAAAATAGTATATAATCTCTGTTTTTACCGAATGAATGTAAGGGTAAAAATATAAATTTATGATTGTATCACATGCTAATTAAATTTACGATCAAATTTATTCCCAAAGCTATTTCATTGTCAGTCTTGTCAAACAAACATAGATACATTTATACTAGAATCATTCTAGTATAAACAATACAATTTTTATCTCTCCAAATTAAATTAATAAAATATTTTCTAGGCAAATAAATGTGCCATTTTGATGTTAAAAAGATAAAATTGTAAAATTGATGGTTAAATTTAGCGGAGCACCATATATATATAAATTTGATTATTTTAAAACAATAACGGTTTCTGTCAAAAAAATATAATTTACTATATTGGGAAATCGATAAAGTAATTTATGGTATAAAGTAGGCGAAATATTTTTGGTATGAAATTTTATTATGATATTCAATTTTTGATATGAAAAATTATCAAAAAGCATCTGGAAGCATAGTTTTTAAACTCGG